TATATATATATATACGTATATGAATTATGTAAAGACAAGACACACGCACTTCTTCTTTGGCCAAATATACCTTGAACGTGTGCTAAAAACCAAATTTGTTTACGTCTACCATGAAAATTGTTGAAAATCGACACGAAGAATTTACAGAAAACGTGTATACTCAGGGATAACTTCTATATATATGCACACGCACACACATGTGGCGGACGCCACAATCACCTCAGCACCTGCGGTTAATTGCCGCACTCAGCACCGCCGCACCTCGCTCGGCATAATTGCCCTTACGCCGAGTCAGCCGGCAGGCAAGTGCCGCGACGCGCCGCGACGCGGAAGATAAGGATGCACCGTCGGCCAATCAGCACACTCAACGGCAAACGACCCAGCAGTGTTACTTTGCCCTGTTTGTTTATATACCGCATTTTCCGCCGAAAAATACACACACTTCATCGTCTTCTCTGCAAAGAGTCTAATTCTCCTGTCTGCTCAGGGCCTGGGGCTCTCTCAGTTACCTCGCCCTAGGCCTCTCCACATTGGTGACCCGGAAACGACATGGAAACGCAGCCACCCTCTTCACTGAAGTAATTGCCGCCGCCATCCGCCTTCCACCCTTTTCACCGGATGAAGCCCTTATATGGATTCGAAGAGCCGAACCCCAGTTCAGGCTCAAGAGCATTAAAAAGGCGACCACCAAAGCAGACCACGTCATAGCTGCCTTACCCGAGAAGATTTTCCCCCGAATCGCCCCCTGGTTAGATACCCAGCCAGACGAAATTGAGTACGACATACTGAAGCAGGAGCTGCTGAAGGAGTTTTCTCTTTCTCCGTGTGAGAGGGCGCGACAAGTGTTCAACATCCCCAACCTGCCACTCGGAAATCGTACTCCAGAACAAGTCTGGCAGGAAATTACCAGCCTATGCAGCCTCCCCACCAGTGTTACCGATGCATACAATTTTCGTCTGCTATGCGAACATTTGAAGCGCGGGAAGTAACACCCGCAGATTTGCGGACCGCAGCACGCACTCATGCGTGCAAAATGTTCGCAAAAATGTATTTTACGTTTTTTTCATAGTAAATGGCTTTGTTGATATTTGCACAATAAATAATGATTTCCTATGGTTTGAATCAATTATTCTACAAATAATTTGATGAAAAATATGTGCCTATTTTCACACCACGTTTGTATTTTCAAGAAGCTATTGAGACTTAGCTATGGAAACATGCTCCTCTTTGAGTTCTAGAGATCGACACCAACTGTAAGTACTAATATCAAATGTAGTGGAATTACCATACTCAAATGTATTTGTCATTCTGTACACTTGTGCTCCTCCCAAGCCGCCAAATGTCTTCCTCGCAAATGTGAAGATCTTGTGAGGAATATACACAACCATTTCTCCCATAGCGCCAAAAGAATTCATATATTCAAAGAATTTCAAGATTTTTGTGATGTAAAACCTCACAAATTACTACATGTGTACCAGACAAGGTGGTTATCATACCATGCGGCTGTAAAAAGGTTGCTGGAACAGTGGGAGCCTCTCAAACTGTATTTCTTTAATATCAGGGCAGAGGAAAGACTCAACAACAATAAGCATATTGGACACAATGAACGAACCATCTACAAAACTCTATTATACTTTTCTTAATTTAATTTTGCCTAAATTCAACCAGCTCAACCTACTCTTCCAACAGCAAGGACCAACCATCCAAGTCCTACACAAAAAGTGCCATGAACTCTACACAGATTTGTTGTGATGCTTTATAAAGAGAAATGAAATAAATAAGGCAGACGATAGAACATCCATTGATATTGAGAACGATTCAAATCATCTTCCATTTTACCAGATGTATCTTGGATCAGAAATGCACTGCCTCATACAATCAGAGGAATACAGACACAACCAAGATTTGCTAGAGAATGTATTCAGCACCTGCAAACAATTTCTCATCATTGCTTGCTAAGAAATGAAAAAAAGGTTCCCTCTTGCAAACAAGCAAATTCAAATGTGCCACATTTTTGTCCCCCAAAACTTTCTGGATGAAGGATCTAGTGTCAATGCCATCTCTGAGAGACCTTGTCACTGCTTTTCCGAGGATCTCTACTAATCCACAACATCTGGATAATGAATGGAGAGCAGTAGACCATAATCTAATTCCGGAAGAAATGAGGAATATTATAAACCCGGAAACATTTTTTACAGCAATCGGTACCCTTCGGGATGAGCTAGGACATCGCATGTTCGAAACCATTTCCGAATTTGCTCTACAAATATGTTTACCTACATCTAATGTTGTTAGAAAGGTTATTCTCGAAGGTAAACTTGTTGAAATCAAAGATCAGAAATAAAATATCAACTTCTACTCTCACATCCCTCATATTATCTTCTGAAATGATAAAAGTTGCAGATGTGTCAAGTTTAAACCACATCTACAATTGGTTAGATTTATAAAAAAAAAAAAAAAAAAAAAAAAAAAAAAAAAAAAAAAAAACTATAAAAGTTTATTTTTTGTTTTGTTTTCAAATTGAATTGTAAATACTGTATATGTAAATACTGTATATGTATATATATATATATATATATATATATATATATGCAGTTGTTTTCTAAAATACATTGTCTTATTTTGATGTATGATTTTTTTTTTTTTTTTTTTTTTTTTTACTTTACCATTTTGTGTATATAAAATTTTCTTCAGTCCCCCCGTTGATATCTATTTGTTTTCTTTGTTTACTCTGTTAGAAAACTGTTGTGCGAGCAAGTGGCTGCGCGCAGGACGAGAACCCTGCTCCCCACCAGAGATGCAGAAGGGAAGTTCCACGAGGTGGAACTTCAAAAAGAAATTTGGCTCCGCTCTCTCCCCGGCAACATCAGGGAGAAACTCCACGACTCGAACGAGACGGCCATTGAAGTCCTCCTCACCAGAGCCAACGCACTGATGGAAGCTCATCGGCAAGCCCGCCCTCAGTCAACAGCTCCCGTTTTCCCGTCGGCCAGCACCGACATCAACGCAGCAACCGCCGAGGGTCCAACACGAATCGGAGGCCCTTCATCCGATTCCTTCGCTGACGGTATCTGCTCGTACCACAAGCGGTTTCGGCAACTCGGCCTACCATTGCCTCAACGGATGTAGGTGGAAGCCTCGAAGACAACCAAAACAACAGGGAAGGTGGCCAGCAAGCAACACGGCCACAACACCGAACGAAGACAACCGCCCCCGACGCCCAGCTCTGCCTCACTACAGACGCCAGCAAAGTCCCGGTAGGAGTTCCCCTGGAGCAAGAAATCCAAGGCAGACGACAGCCCCTGACATCCAGCAGAGAACTCCTGGCAGCACACCTGGCCATTACCAACCTTTGCTGGGCAAAATTCACCCTCTGCGGCGCCAGCATGACCAGCCCCTCGTCGTGCCCAGAGACCTGCCACAACAACGGCCCGAGCGACACAGCGAGAGGACCTCCGCCAGGGAGACGGCAGTTCACCACCAGGAGACCTATCCGTCGCTCTCATCACCCACCCTACACCCCAGCAGGATGGCCGAGTTCGCCTTTTCACCACGATGACGCCACCTACACGAGATCCGGACGCCAGTCTCGCCCTCGCAGGATCCTCGATCTGTAGTCCTTTCTCCCTCGTCAGGGGGGATGCATCGTGGCAGAAGCCACAATCACCTCAGCACCGGCGCTTAATTGCCTCACTCAGGACCGGTGCTTAATTGCCTCACTCAGCAGCCGGCGCTTAATTGCCTCACTCAGCACCGGCGCTTAATTGCCTCACTCAGCACCGGCGCTTAATTGCCTCACTCAGCACCGGCGCTTAATTGCCTCACTCAGCACCGGCCACCTCGCTCGGCATAATCGCCCTTACGCCGAGTCAGCCGGCAGGCAAGCGTGGCGAGGTCCGCGGCGCTGATTCGCCGCGACGCGGAAGATAAGGATGCACCGTCGGCCAATCAGCACTCAACGGCAAACGACCCAGCAGTGTTACTTTGCCCTGTTTGTTTATATACCGCATTTTCCGTCGAAAAATACACACACTTCATCGTCTTCTCTGTAACGAGTCTAATTCTCCTGACTGCTCAGGGCCTAGGGCTCTCTCAATTACCTCGCCCTACGCCTCTCTCTCTCTACACACACACACACAACACACACACACACACACACACACACACACACACACACACACAACATACACAAACGCACACACCAAACACACACACCACACACACACACACATACACACCCACACACACACACACACACACATATACACACACACACACACACACGCATATATATATATATATATATATATATATATATATATATATATATATATATATATACATACATATATATATATATATATATATATATATATATATATATATATATATATATACATATATATACACACATATATATACACACATTTTTTTATTTCTCTCTCTCTCTCTCTCTCCCTCTCTCTCCCAATATCGCAATAAGCTCATCGGCAAGCCCGCCCTCAGTCAACAGCTCCCGTTTTCCCGTCGGCCAGCACCGACATCAACGCAGCAACCGCCCGAGGGACCAACACGAATCGGAGGCCCTTCATCCGATTCCTTCCCGCTGACGGTATCTGCTCGTACACAAGCGGTTCGGCAACGCGGCTACCATTGCCTCAACGGATGTAGGTGGAAGCCTCGAAACACCAAAAAACATGGAAGGTGGCCAGCAAGCAACACGGCCACAACACCGAACGAAGACAACCGCCCCGACGCCCAGCTCTGCTCACTACAGACGCCAGCAAAGTCCCGGTAGGAGTTCCTCTGGAGCAAGAAATCCAAGGCAGACGACAGCCCCTGACATCCAGCAGAGAACTCCTGGCAGCACACCTGGCCATTACCAACCTTTGCTGGGCAAAATTCACCTCTGCGGCGCCAGCATGACCAGCCCCTCGTCGTGCCCAGACCCAGACCTGCCACAACAACGGCCCGAGGCGACACTCAGCGAGAGGACTCCGCCAGGGAGCCCGGCAGTTCACCACCAGGAGACCTACCGTCGCTCTCATCACCCACCCTGCACCCCAGCAGGATGGCCGAGTTCGCCTTTTCACCACGATGACGCCACCTACACGAGATCCGGACGCCAGTCTCGCCTCGCAGGATCTCGATCTGTAGTCCTTTCTCCTCGTCAGGGGGATGCATCGTGGCAGAAGCCACAATCACCTCAGCACCGGCGCCTTAATTGCCTCACTCAGGACCGGCGCTTAATTTGCCTCACTCAGCACCGGCGCTTAATTGCCTCACTCAGCACGGCGCTTAATTGCCTCACTCAGCACCGGCGCTTAATTGCCTCACTCAGCACCGGCGCTTAATTGCCTCACTCAGCACCGGCCACCTCGCTCGGCATAATCGCCTTACGCCGAGTCAGCCGGCAGGCAAGCGTGGCGAGGTTCCGCGGCGCTGATTCGCCGCGACGCGGAAGATAAGGATTGCAGCGTCGGCCAATCAGCACTCAACGGCAAACGACCCAGCAGTGTTACTTTGCCCTGTTTGTTTATATACCGCATTTTCCGTCGAAAAATACACACACTTCATCGTCTTCTCTGTAACGAGTCTAATTCTCCTGACTGCTCAGGGCCTAGGGCTCTCTCAATTACCTCGCCCTACGCCTCTCTCTCTCTACACACACACACACACAACACACACAACACACACACACACACACACACACACACACAACACACACACACATACACAAACGCACACACAAACACACACACACACACACACACACATACACACCCACCACACACACACACACACATATACACACACACACACACCATATATATAATTATATATATATATATATATATATATATATATATATATATATATATATATATATATATATACATATATATAATATAATATATATATATATATATAATACATATATAATACACCACATATATATTAACACACATTTTTATTTCTCTCTCTCTCTCTCTCTCCTCTCTCTCTCCACATATCGCAAAATAAGCGGAAAAAAAAACAGATAAGCTAGCCCAAGAACAACACAAAAATGACATTGACGTTGCTATCACTCCATTATCGCAAAATAAGAAGGAAAAATAAAGACATGGATAAAGAGGAAGAATAGAGACGAAAGGAGACAGTCAGAGTAAATTAAAATGTCTATAATTTACGGTAGAAAAGGTGGCGACAGGGCAAGGGAATCCACCATAGCTCGATTGAGATTAGAAAGCAAATACCATTGGAATCCACCATACCATTTGAACTGCAATATTCCCACGGTTACTCGCAATAACTAGTGTAGAGTATGTGGTGGCAGATTAGGACAAATATTTAAACACTATGTAGTGGAATGTTCATTGCATAGAAAACTTTCAGAAAGGGAGTTAGAGAAAGGAACCAAAGACAAAACATGATTTATGTAATTGATGACATTTTATATAGCGGAATGTCATTACATAGAACCAGAAAGGGAGTAGAGAAAATCATACAATGACACATGTGATTAATGTTATCAACATTTTAAGGATACATAATTTTCATCTTTGGGTAAATGTATTATTTATCCAAATAAACTGTTCAAAATCAAAAATCTCTTCTCTTCTTCTCGCTCTCTCTGTTCGTTCTCTTCTTTCTCTGTTCCGCTCTTCTCTCTCTCTCTCTCTCTCTCTCTCTCTCTCTCTCCTCTCTCTCTCTCTCTTCTCTCTCTCTCTCTCTCTCTCTCTCTCTCTCTCTCTTTATTCTGAATGTATTTTAACGTTTCCTTTTTTTTAGTCCTTTTCTATTTAAAAAATCTTTGTTTCCTGATTTACCAATCATTTTGTTGCTATTTTTCCCCGCTGGCTATTTTGATTCTTTTCTCTTCGTAAAATGACGTTTTCATTTTTTTTTCAAGCAGATCCAAAATATTGATTTTATTTTCTAAAAAATACCATTTTTTCCCCAACTTCTTCCTTCTTTATTCTCCTTTGTTCTCTCACTCACTTTATTCCTTATTCCTTCTTTCTCTTTTCGTCATCCTCCCTTCTTCTCTCCTATAATGTATGTATACATACATATACATACATACATNCACACAATTTCTCGCAATCTCCTTCCCTTGGTTCACCTCGAGAAGCTAGACTCCCCTCTGAGAATGGCCTCGACGAAGGGCAGCGTCTTATAAATATATCCGATGACGGAGTCCTGCCCGAAGACCTGCGTGGTGCCCGTGAGAACCGCCAGGCCGTAGAGGATCGTCCCGGCCGCCAAGAACCAGGTCGTGAGGACTGTCGACGCCACGAGCTTCACGAAGAGGGCCGCCAAGATGTTGACGTAATCGATCTCGGCGCTGTAGAGCTGCTGTCTGCAAGGGGCGGTTCGGATTACTCGCATTACCCGGTCAGCTGAGGTAATGCTTTTATATCATGTGAGGATAATAGCATGTGTCACTGTTTTTGTGACTGTCATCACTATTAATATTATCGTATTTTACAATGATAATATTATTTCTATCAATGTTGTACTACTGCGACATGAGTGATTACTATCAACATTAGTATTATTACATTTATTATTATCATCAACATCATGAATATAATTGCTATCATTATTTTTTTTCTACTAGTGTTGCGACTTCTGCTATTGCTATTACCAGTGATGTAATGATAATACTATTACATTTACTACTTCTAAAACTATCTTTATTATTCTTACTATCATTATTATCTTCATTACTATAACTATCATTATTATCACTATTATTGTTATTGTTGTTGTTGTCCTTGTTGTTGATGTGTTATAATAATAGTAATTGTTATTATCATTGTTGTTGTTGTAATAATGCTAACAATAATGATTATCTTCATTATTATTGTTATAGTAGTATTATAATTGTTATTATTATCATTATCATTATTATTATTATTGTGATTATTATTATTACTATTAATATTATTATTACTATCATGATTTCTATCATTATTATCATTATTTCTTGTTATTGTTATTATTCTCATTGTTCCTAAAATTATCATGTTTCTTGTCATCATGTTTATCATCATCACTACCATCTATCATTAAGAATATTTTTACCGCTATTATCACTGTTATTACTACTATTAGAATAATATAATTTCTAGCAATAGCATGATTGTTATTATTATCTTTATTATCATTATGGCTATTATCATTAACTACTACTATTTTTAACTATTATTATTATCATTGTTATTATCATCATTATTATTATTGTTGTTGTTGTTGTTATTCATTATTATTATTGTGATTATTATCATTATCGTTATTATTTTTTATTATTATTATTGTGATTATGATTACTAATATTAACTTTATTTTATTATCATTGCTGTTGTTATTGTTGTTGTTTTTTTCTGTTTTATTATGATCATTATCATTATCATCATAATTATCATCATTGTTAATGTTATCATCATGATTATTATTATTATTGTTTTTATTATTATTATTATTATTATTATTATTATTATCATCATCATCATCATCATCATCATCATCATCATCATCATCATCATCATCATCATCATCATCATCATCATCATCATCATCATCGTTATTATCATCATTATTATCATTATTATTGTTATTATCATTATTATTATTAATACTATCACTACCATTATTACTACCATGATCATTTTTATTACGACCATCATTATTATCATTATTTCTATCATTACTGTCATCATAAATATTTTTCCTATTATCATCATTATTGCTTGATTGTTTTTAGTTTTATTATTGTAACTTTCATTCCCATTTTACTGATAATATTGCTAATGAAGATGATTTAATGAAGATAATAATGATGATGTTAATAATGATAATTATGATTATTAGTATTACAATGGTAATAATGATAACAATGATAATAACGATAATGATGATATTAATAATGATTCAGATGATGAAAAATTAATACAAATAATAAGAATTATATAGATAATGATAATAATGATTATGATTACAATAAAATAAAGATAACAAAAATATAAAAGATAGTTATAATAATGATAATAATAATGGTAATTATAAAAATTATAATAGTAATAAGAATGAAAATAATAGTGATAATAACCTATAAATAATAGTAGTAATATTAATGATAGTAAGGAGTGTTAATAATAATAACAACGATAATAGTATTAATGATGATGATATTGGCAATGATAATAATCATAATAATGATAATGATAACAATATTATTATTAGTAATAATAACAAAGATAATAATAATGAAAATAGTAATAACGATAGTAATAATGAAAATAATGATAATGATTATTATTAAAATGATAGCAGTAGTAGTATCAATAACGATAATAATGATGAGAATAATAACAATAACAATAATAATAAAGATGATAGTGATAGTAATAGTAATAATAAAATCAATAGCAAAACTCACAATGATCATATTTATGATAAAAGTGATAATAATGGCAAAGATAAGAATCAAAGAATTACGACAATGATACATGATACTTACGGTCTGTCACTGCTATGTTGCACCAGCGCGTGATCCTCGTCTCTCTCCAGATAGCTGTCGATTCTGTTGGCGATTCCTGCGCTCGCCTTTTCGTCCTTGTAGGCGTTCCCCGGCCAGGGATGGAACGGCTCGTATTCGTAAGGAAATTCTTTTTTTCTCTTGGCCGTTGGCGGATCGTAGACTTCCCTCGTGACGTATTTGAACCAGTTGGTCTTGTCTCTCGCGTCGACGTGGTTCCTTTCTTCACTGAATGGCAACATGAGCAGAAATAGCAATACGCAGACAGAGGCCATTGCTTGCAAGTTTTTAGTCAGTTGAAAGAAAGTGAACGTTTTTTTTTAAAGGGCAGTCGATTTCCAGATTTGTTTAGATTGAAAATGATAATAATATGATTCTTGGTTAGTTCGTTTAATGTTTGATCACGTCCATATGGTTCAGTATCCTTTTGACTTGAAATACAGTAGTCGGAGTAGA